AGATCCGCCTGCCTCTGCCTCCTAAGTGCTGGGATTAAAGGCGTGCACCACCACCACCACCACCACCACCACCACCACCACCACCACCACCACCACCACCACCACCACCACCACCCGGCAGAAAGAATATTTCCATTCATCATCCACTACAACGATGTTCTGACAACAGTAGCTAGGAAGTAGATAGTCAGATTCCTTTTGACACAGCCTAGGAGATGCCCCATAACCTTTAAAATCCGTTTTTTGTCGTCTCCCCCCCCCCCAACTGTTTTGTCAACTTCATCACTCTGGTAATCCAACTGTTGAAATCTTCCCAGCACTCATAGCCACTACTTCTTACTTGGGGGGGAGGGGTCAGGTAACTGATACTCATAAATTTTATTTGGAAGAAAGTGACAAAATAATTTATAGAAGAATCTGAAATTTTCTCAGATCCTTGAAAAAAATCTTTGAATTAATGAATGCAGGCCAGGCTTGATGGTTTTTAACTTTAGTCCCAGCACTTGGGAGGCACAAGCAGGTGGATCTCTTGAGTTTGAGGCCAGCCTGGTCTAGAGAGGAAGTTAAAGGACAGCTAGGGCTACACAGAGAAAACACCAAACAATCGAACAAAACCAACAAACTCAGGCCAGATGTGATGATGCAATCTGTCATTCCAACAAGGTGTGGAAGTGGGTGGGGAGTTCAAAGTCATCCTTAGGTATACAGAGTGTTTGGGGCCAGCCTATGGTTATATGAGACTGTTTCTAATGAAAATAAAACAAAACAAAGCCACCATGACAAGAATTATAAAATCTGTAGTCCCGATTTAGTGTGAGTGTGATTCTTTTTGTGTTGACACATCAGAAGTATGAACAAAAGCCACAATTTTTTCTGCTATAAAACGCAACTATTAAGGCTTTGCATAGAGAATTTATATTCATACAGAGAGTATAGGATTGGTATTGATAAATATAATAAACACAGAGCCAAGAAAATTGAAATAGAAGGCCACTGAAGTTGTATCTTATCTATCTAAAATGTAAAAGCAGAATAAATTTTTCTCAGCTGTGTGTGTAGCTAAGATGTAGAGCACTTGGTGGGAGTAGAAAGATGGCTGTTTTCACCACACATCCCACACAAGCATTAAAACCTGAAGTTGATCCCAGCACACAAGTAAAAAGGCTAGTCATGGTACTACATGCATTTAATTCCAAGGCTGGGAGGCAGAGACTAGAAGATCCCTGGGGTTCACTGGCCAGCAAATCTGAGCTAATCAGAGAGACTCTATCTCAGAAACCAAAGTGGAAGGCTGGGGAGATGGCTTAGTGGGTAAAGTGCTTGCTACATAAGCATTAGAACAGAAATTTAGATACCCAGTAGCCATGAAAAAATACCAGGCAATCTTGCTGGTTCACCTATGCAAAGGGAAATGGAGAAAGGTGAATAATCCCCAGAGCAACCTAGGTAGTTAAATGGACTGAATCAGCAAGTTCTGGGTCTAAGACACAGACTCTGACTTACTATGTAAGGTAAAGAGAGACTGAAGACACTTGATGGCAACTTTTGGCTTGCAAACACATACACCCACATATGTGAACATACAAACACACACACACACACACACACACACACACACACACACACACACACACACCCGCAAATCAAAAGGTAGACAGCTGCCAAGAAACCATACTTGAAGTTCTCCTTTGGCCTCTATACACACAGGTGCCTCATCTCCTACATGCAAAAGTTACACATTTACCTAGTAAGCCCAAAACCCTGTGTTATATTCAGAGTTAGATATCCAGTCACATTAAAAAAATGAAAAGTGAGCCAGGCATTGGTGGTGCACGCTTTTAATCCCAGCACTCGGGAGGCAGAGGCAGGAGGATCTCTGTGAGTTCAAGGCCAGCCTGGTCTCCAGAGTGAGCGCCAGGATAGGCTCCAAAGCTACACAGAGAAACCCTGTCTCGAAAAACCAAAAAAAAAAAAAGAAAACCTGGTAAAAAGGCAACTTGAATTTTGATCCCAGATCCCTAAATGGATGAAAAATGATTTTCAAGAGTAACACCAGACCACTGTACCATGCCACAAGCATGCCCTCACTCATACAGATATTCATATACATAGATATGCATTTAATTCACACACACACACACACACACACACACGATCGCGCATGCGTAATGCACGTTTTGTTTTTCTTTTTTTTTTAAAGGAGCTTCTTTTTTTTTTTTTTTAAAGATTTATTTATTTATTATGAATACAACATTCTGCCTTCATGTATGTCTGCACACCAGACGAGGGTACCAGATCTCGTTACAGATGGTTGAGAGCCACCATGTGGTTGTTGGGATTGAACTCAGGACCTCTGGAAGAACAGCCAGCGCTCTTAACCTCTGAGCCATCTCTCCAGTCCAACGTTTTGTTTTTCAACACAGGGTTTCTCTGTGTAGCTCTGGCTGTCCTAAAACTTACTCTATAGACCAGGCTGCCCTCAAACTCAAGAAATCCACCTGCCTCTGCCTCCCAAGTGCTAGGATTAAGGGAGCTCTACACCATGTCACATTTATAATTTTTCTGAGTTAAAAAATATGTCTGAGAACTTAGTTAATTAGATTCTGTCTGAAAGAGTTGTGCATTTTTTTACTGTGGCAAAGTAGACTTAATATAAAAAGGGCTGTATTTGAGACAATACCAACAGTGACTCACTCCTGAGCTCTGCAAAGGTGTTTCAGAAAAGCTAGCTGATGCTCATTTGTGATGAAAGCCTAACACATGAACTCTCATTTTCTTAAGGTGTTCTCACCTGGTCACAACTTGATGCGTGTAAGCCCTATTGGGACTTCCAAATGATTTAGCCAGGCCAAAATCTGCCAGCTTCAGAACTCCATTCTCATCTAATAACAAGTTGTTTGGTTTCAGATCCTGTATCGGTTAGCAAAACAAACAAAATCAAGCAGGATTAGAGAAAAACAGCATAATGATACATTTAGCTAGCTTTATTTATTTATTTATTTATTTATTTGAAACAGTCTTATGCAGCCCAGGCAAAATTATGCAAGACTAGAAGAAAACATGATACATTTAGTTAGCTTATGCACCCTCCTACCTATATACCTAAATCCATCCATCCATTCGAGACAGTCCTATGTAGCCCAGGCTGGTTTTGGATGCACTATGTAGTCAAAAACAAGTCTAAATTTCTGATGCTTCTACCTCTACTCCCAGAGTGCTGGGATGCAGTTTATGTAGCAAATGTGGTATTGAGGATCAGAACTAATATATGTCAGACATGCACTTTACCAACTGAGTTATGTCTCTAGTTAGCGTAACTTTGAAACATAGAAAACAAAGCCAGGTGTGACACACGCTTTTAATCCCAACACTCAGGAAGCAGAACCACCCTGGTCTACAAAGTAAGTTCCAGGACAGCCAGAGCTACGCAGACCCTGTCTTGAAAAACCAAAGTGGAAGGGAAAAAAAAAAGAAAACAAACTAGGCATACTGGCACATACTGGTAATCCCAAGACTTTAGGAAACGTAAGACAAAGGATAATAAATACACAGGCAGCCTAAGTGTGGTAGTTTGAAAGAAAATGACCCCCAAAGGGAGGTGTGACTTGTTGAAGTACGTGTGGCCTTGCTGGAGGAAGTATGTCACCGTGGGGGTGGGCTTTGAGGTCTCTTTTGCTCAAGCTTTGCTTAGTGTAACATACAGCACAGTTCCTGTTGCCTTCTGATCAAGATGAAGCCAACATCATGTCTGCCTGCATGCTGACATGCTCCCTGCCATGATGATAATAGGCTGAACCTCTGAAACTGTAAGTAAGCCACCCCAATAAAATGTTTTCCTTATAAGAATTGCTGTGGTCATGGTGTCTTTTCATAGCAACAGAAACCCTAACTAAGACACCAGGCTACAGAGGAAGACCCTATCTTCAAACACAAACCACCAACTGAGCTAGCACGGTGGTTCAGCAGGTAGAGCCATTTGCAGCAAAGTGGCAGGAGAGAACTGACTGCTCTGGGTTATCAACTGACTTCCACAAATATACTATGGCACATCCTCACCTACAGTTATACACCTACACTCACACACACATAAGCCCATGACTTTAAAATACAGACATAAAAGAAAAACCCAAACTAACTAACCATAAAAAGTTTAATTAAACTTAAGCAGCAACATTAAAAGTGTGGTGAAACACAAATACAATCCCAGTAATCAGGAGTCAAAGGCAGAAGAACCTGGCAAATCCCCAGCCATCCTGGAATATAAAGCAAAACCTCATGGATGCATGGATCATTACTTAAAACTTACCCTATGTAGAATCCAATGCTGATGTAAATATTCTAATCCCTGAAGAGTCATCAACATGTAGGCTTTAATGTGGGATGGTGTCAACACAAGACTATTATCCTTTATTATAACCTAAAAAGTAGACAGTCAACATACAGATATGTTTCATTATCCAAATGAACTCTAACAAATAAAATATATAGATTTCAGGAGAAAGCAATTGTGTACCCTATAATTCTGGTTTAGAAGCATTAAATGTCAAGGCTGCAAAGACAGCTCAGCTATTAAGAGCATTGGCTGCTCTTCCAGAGGACCTGGGATAAATTCCGGGCAGTGGTGGCGCATGGCTTTAATCCCAGCACTCGGGAGGCAGAGGCAGGTGGATCTCTGTGAGTTTGAGACTAGCCTGGTCTATACATATTACTATCACATTCAAACCAGCAATGTATGAGAATTCTAGTTGTTTTATAGTCTCGGAAAAAGGATTGTCACTTTTTCCAGGATTCAATTATGAAAACCATGGGACTTTTAAAAACCTAATCCTCTGTACTTAATAACTAGAAATTCAACTAAATGTAAAGAAATCAGAGATCTTTTTGACTTCTGCAAAAGTAAGCAATTCTTTGTCTATCGATATTCTCTTAAAGCAGAATAAACATTCAGGTTCCATTCTCACAAAGTAGGAAAAGTCTCTAGGAACCCTAATCTTACCTCCAGGTCAGTTTCCATGAAATCAAAGACAAGGCTAATGTTAGATTTATGTCCAAATGCATCTAGGAGCTGCAAAGCAAAGCAAAGTGGTTAAATTGTCGTTCTTTACTTAATGTTGGGATTTACCATTGGTGTAGGTATTTTTAAAAATTTTGCTTCCCTACCCCTCCCACAGTACTGGTAAACCCAGGACCTTGAGCATGCCAGGCAAGTATTCTACCACAAGAAACATCCCACCTCCCCTCCCCCACCAAATCTTTGGACTTTTAAGACCAGATACCACTATGTAACTCAGGCTGACCTAGAACCTGCTATATAGTCCAGGCTGGCCTGAACTCTCATTCCCCCTGCCTCTACATCTACCTCTCAGTGGATTGTAATACAAATGTGTGTACTACCTGGCTTAAAATTTTAAACTGCTGGTAATTTCAGGTAAAGCTGAAAGTCCTTTATTAAATGTAACAATTGCCCATTTTTCAACAGGAGTTAGTTTTCTCTGGCACAAAAACATTAAAACTTATTTAACAAACTCAATAAAAGTTTAAAAACTCCCCTCTCTAAACCCAGAGAATTTGAATAAATAATGAAAATTTCACAGCCCTGGTGATGGTAGCACACGCCTTTAATCCCAGCACTTGGGAGGCAGAGGCTGGTAGATCTCAATCTCTCAAAAAACAAAAAGAAAATTTCACCTTGGTTTCTAGTTGAAAAAAAAATTCCTGGGATTGGGGATATAGTTCAGCAGTTAAAGCCGCTGCCATACAAGTATGGGGCCTGGACCAGAGTTTAGCTTCTAGACACTACGTAAACACCAGGTAGGAAAGGTATGCCTGCAATCAAGCCTCGAAGGTCAGGACAGGGGTTCCCCACAACAAGTTAACTAGCAAAACTACTCATACCACTGAGCTCTGGTTTTGACTGAGACTCTGCCTCAACAAATAAGATGGAAAAGTAATAGAAAATGATATCCTGTATGAACCACAGGCCTCCAAATACACAGGCACAGACAAAAAAGTGTAAACACACATGCACTCAAAAGATGAGAAAAGAAAAACATTATAAATTTTTATGTAAGTTTTTGCCATGCATGGTGGGGAACACCTTTAATCCAGCACTCAGGAGGCAGAGGCAGATATCTCTGAGTCTGAAACTACAGGTTGACTTCCAGGACAGGAAGGCCTTTATGCAGAGTAACCTTGTCTCAAACAAAACAACAACAAAAAATTTCTAAGCAAATGCTAAAGAAAATTCTTGCCGGGTACTGTGATATACCCTTGTAGTTATAGTACAGTAATTACAGCACCAACAACCACACTCTAGCCTTATGGAGACAAAAAAGAAGTGTTTGAATGCAAGCTGTTACTTTTAATCCAAAAGCAAACAACTTAGATCATACTCACACCAATTATGTTTGGATGACTTAGCTCCTGTAACAATTTTATCTCTCTTAAGGCTGTTCTATTTATACCTATGGAAAAAATTCAAAAAATGAACAATAATTCTGAAATCTCAAACCTTTTACAAATGTATTTTTTAGGAAAGGCCATTTCAGGAAATAAACATTTCACACACAAAAATGAATCATTTTTACTATTTGTATGAGAAAGTTCTTTTTCTCAAATTGTTTTAAAGTAGCTTAACATAGTATATGATAAATGGGGAAGAAAGTACCTATTTCTATATTATATCATTCTGAAAATCATTACAATAACATATACAGACACGAAACAGATGTGGTAATAGGGTCTTTTCTCTTGTCCTACAAACATCAGAGGAAGACTATATATGCTAATAGCAAATTAGCACTAAGGATACCTTTTTTCAATACAAATGATAGAAATCAAAATTTCAACTTCATAGTAACTATTATTTGATGGCTAAACAGGGCCCAAAACTCTAAGAGGCTTGAGAATAAGAAGTAAATCTTTCCCCAGTGTGACCATTCTATAGGAACTTTGTGTTCTTCTGTGAAGATGCATCCTTGAATTTTTCAAAGCAATTAGAAAACCAGAAATGCAAAGGGTAATGACTTACAACACCCAGAACAGTACTGAGGACATCCAGACAAGGGCCCAACAAGCTCACTGCCCTCCATTTACAGGATCTGAATCATTGCAATGCTTAAATGCTATTCTAACAGGGCTCTCTTTACTCTCTAGGCCAGTGCTTCTCTACCTTCCTAATGCTATGTTCATGTAATGGTAACCCCAATAATAAAATTACTCTCGTTGGCCAGGCGGTGGTGGCGGCGCACACCTTTAATTCCAGCACTCGGGAGGCAGAGGCAGGCGGATCTCTGTGAGTTTGAGACCAGCCTGGTCTACAAGAGCTAGTTCCAGGACAGCCTCCAAAGCCGCAGAGAAACCCTGTCTCGAAAAAAAAAAAAAAATTTTTTTTCGTTGATACTTATTGTAATTTTCCTACTGTTATGAATCATAATATAAATATCTGATATTCAACCCCTGTGAAAGAGATGTTTGATCTTCAAAGGGGTTGAGACCCACAGGTTGATAACAACTATTCTAGAGACACTGTGATAATGTAGAATTATTATTAGCTCTCATTGACATTTTCCTCAGATCAGAATAAACACATCTCCTGTTTTACCAAATTATATTTAATACTTACCATCTTTAGCTTCTGACCTGTGTCCAAGTTTGATCTGGGAGAGAAAAGAGGGGGAGACCAAAACATATACATTAATAATGTGTGGAGGGAGGGCTCAAAAGATGGTTCAGTGGTTAAGAGCACTGGTTGCTCTTCAGAGGCCCTGAGTTTAATTCCCAGTAGTCACAACGTTGCTCACAACAATCAATGATGAGATCTGGCATCCTCTATTGGAGTGCAAGCGTACTTGGAGGTAGACCTCATGTATAATAAACAAACAAACACATCTTAAAAAAAAAGTGTGGAGGGTAGAGATAGTCCAAGGGGTTGAGAACACTGACTGCTTCCAAAGGATCTAGGTACAATTCCCAGCACCCACACAGCAGCTCACAACCGCCAGTTCCAGTGGGACCTTATGCTCACTTCTGACCTTAGATAGAACCAGGCATACAGACATACATGGAAGCACCATACACAGTAATAAAAAGTTTAGAAATAAAATCAACCACACAAAAACTCACAATGTCTTAATATACAAATTATATGCACAAAAACTTAGCTGCAAGCAGAATTGACATGGTGGTGCACACCTGTAGTCTCAATACTTGGGAGGCCAAGTCTGGGCTACATAGCAAGATTCTGCCTCAAAAAAAAAAAAAAAAAAAAGAAAGAAAGAAAAGAAAAGAAACAGCTGGGACTTGAATCCCAGAACTCATGAAACAAAGAAGCAGATCTCTTGAGTTTGAAGTTACCCAGGTTTACACCCTGAGTTCTAGACTCTGCCTTAAAAAAAAAGTTAGCCACAGTAAAATCACGTAGCAATATGCAGATCATGAGAACAACTGGAAATCTAAAGGCTCAGGAACAGAGTGAGTCATAACATGTGGAAGGCAGAGTTTGAGCTCCAGCAAAGCAGAACAAAATGAATCAAGCATTTACTTTAAGTTTCTGAACTACACATGTAAACAACTGAACTCAACAAGGCTCATCTGATAACTCTACAGTCTGAGGTTAATCGCCTTGACCCACAATGTGGAAGGGAAGAACTCCCTCAAGTTGTTCTCTGACCTTCAGGGCATGCTGTGATGCATGTAAACACACACAAACAAGTGTCTCTTTTACACATTCCAGCCTTTTTTTTTTTTTTAAAGACAGGGTTTCTCTGTCACTCCATTCCCTCTTATACAAGTTGTCATCTAATACATGTGCTCTCAACCACAGAGATACAAATACACACACAAAATACGTAAAAATTAAAAAACAAAAATCAGTAATATAGACTAGGAATGTGGTTTAATGACAAAGCACTTGCCTAGACTGCTCAAAGTTATGGGTTCAATCTGCGTATACACTCATGCAGGCACACACGCGCACACACATAAATAAAATTCTAAGGGAGAGAGGAACCCTGGGGAAATGGTTCAGTGGGTAACACTGGCTCTGCAAGAGGAGGATGTGAATTCAGATCCCCAGCACCCATGTAAGAGACTAGCCTTGGCTATGTGTGCCTGAGACTGACTGGGACAGAAAGATTCAGAGAGTTTGCTGGTGAGCCAGCCATCAAGCCAGCCAGCCTGCCTTGCTAGCCAAACCAAAATAGCAAGCATCTGGTTTTATTGAGAGACCTTGTTTCAAAGGCAATTAATGAGAAAAAAAAAAGAAAAAGAAAAAAAAATGGAGGAAGTCATCAGATATCCTGCTCTGGCCTGTGCACAGGCAGACCTGAAATCATGTGTGTGCACCATAAACACCTACAAGACACACTCATATAGCAAGGCACACACAGACAATGATCCAAAAGCCACCAACATGGCAGACTGCCTAAGTAACTTGGGAAATGGCAAAAACGTAGCAATTCCATGTAACATTTTTAAAAACTTATTTTATGTGTATGGGTGTTTTGCCTGCAAATATGTCTCTGGGCCACAAGTATGCCTTGTGCCTGTGGAATACAGAAGGTGTTGATCTCCTGGGACTAGAGTAACAGAAAGTTGTTAGTCACCACATGAGTTCTGGGAACCAAAGAAGACTTGGGTCTTCTATACGAACAGTCAGTGCTCTTATCTGCTAAGTCACATCAGCAATATTTTAAGAAGTCCAAGTCATAATAAATTCAAAAGCAGATCTCTTCGTAAAATCAAAGAGGGTGTTAGCAAATGAACATGAGTAGAAATAATGAGTGTTAGAAAAGAAAGGTTCACAGCAGCAAATCCTCAACATTCACAGAAGGAAATACAAATGATGTCCAATTTGGGAGAAGGAAGACCCATAAACCAGCCACTCCAAATGTACTGGAGATAACTATCAGTAGAAATTAGGGAAACCAAAAAACCAAAACAAGAGAAGATGTAGCATGTTAAAGGCCTTTGCTTCTTAGTACCTTTTAAAACCACAAAAATGAATTATTTGAAATAAAATAATGACATAGGATACCTATGTCATTTATTAGGAGATAGAGGTAGGAGTTTAAGGTCATTCTCTACTACATAATAACTTTGGAGCCAGGTCGTAAGGGCTTTTAAAAAGGAGAACCAAGCTGGATTCTAAATCCTAATGAATGTTTAAAAGCAGACAAGAAAACACAATTGTACTTACAATTACAAAACCCAGTATATCAATATCAACCATGTGGAAAGACTACCAGTCAACTAAGGTTTTCTTTTTGATACAGTGTACACTGTTTGCCCCGACTGGATTGAACTCCTAGACTTGATGATCCTCCTACCTCCTATCTTCTCCTGAGAACATACTCCACTGTATCCAGCTAAGTCAGGCAGGTGATATGGCTCGGTGGTGGTTAAGAGCACTGGCTGCTCTTCCAGAGGACCTAGGTTTGACTCCCAGTGCTCATATAGCAGCTCACAACCATCTGTAACACCAGTCTCAGGGGATAATACACTCTTCTGACCTCTATACATAGTTGTACAAACACGCAGGCAAAATAATTAACAAATGCCTATTAATGTGCTCGTCACAGTCCAGGTATAAAATAAATAATTTTTGTGGACAATGAACTCAGATGGAAGAATTACAGATTATGATAATGACATGAAAATGACAGAGAATGAAGAATTGCAAAGAACCAGGAAGGAAAGTGGAATATCTGTTTTGCTGCAAATAAAACAGAAAGCACCTCTGGTGAAGGAGAAGGCTAAATAATAAGATTTCATGGGACTAGAGAGATGGCTCAGTGGTTAAGAGCACTGGCTGCTTTTCCAGAGGTATTGAGTTCAATTTCCAGAAACCACATGGAAGCTCACAACCACCTGTAATGAGATTTGGTGTCTTCTTTTGGCATGTAGGCATACATGCTGGCAGAATACTATATGAATAATAAATGAATAAATCCTTAAAAAAAGATGTCAACCACACCAAGCTCTAGAGACAAAATACAAAGACCCTGAATACAATGAAAGGCAAAGGTTAGTATGGCAGGGATATAGTGACCCAAAAGTGGAACTGAGGATGACAAAGACATCAACAGAGTTAAGATGGAACGATGGGGAGTGGCTCATCCCAGTAATTTTATCATTTGAGAGCCTGCAGCAGGAAGACTACGAGTTTGAGGTCAGCCTGGGCCATATAAAGAGTTCCAGGCCAATCTAGGCTATAGAGTTCCTGTCTCAAGAAACAAGATATTCAAGGTTTATGGTGTTTTGTTGCTGTTGGGTATTTTTCGAAGCAGTGGGCCTCACATAAACTATGCACTCTACCACTAAAAGTCCAAGCCGCGTTTTCTTTTTCTTTTGGAACAGTGTCTTACTAAGCTGCCTATGCTCGCCCAGTCAGGCGAGTATTCAATTTTATGTGTGTGTAGGCATATGTGTGTGTAGGCATGAAGGCCAGAGGACAGTGTCTCTCGCTGAAATTCACCAAATAGGGTAGGCTTCATGAAGCGAGCCTTGGGGATTTGCCGGTCTCCACCTCCCCGGTGCTGGGGGAACGACTGCTACTGATTCTCTCCCCTCAACCTCTGGAATAGCTGGGATTACAAGCATAAACTACCAAGCCCAGCTAAGAGAATCAAGAGTTTAGTGAAACACGGCAGTAGATCACAAAGCCCAATCTGGAAAACAAGAATATGAGAAGTAAAAAAAAAAAATAAAACAGGGGTCAAGGAGATGGCTCACTGGGTGAAGGCACTTGCTGCTGAGCCAAAATTCAATCCCTGGAACCTACAAAGTGGAAAGGGAACCAGCTCCACAGCTGTCCCCTAAGTTCCACACACACACACCCCACCTGGAATTATTTATTTATACAAAAATAATTTCTTAAAACAAAGACAATAATAGCAGAAATACCTGAAAGGAAGACATCGAGCCAAGCACTAAATGAGTTAAGAGGCACACCTTGGAGGCTGGAAGATGGGAGCAGTGAGTTTACAAAGGAGGAAACAGATTCAAAGTAGCACAGGGATATATATGGTGGTCAATGACACCAACAGGCCCTGAGTTATGTGAGGAAAAACAGAATCATCCTAAAATGGCTACAGATTTCAGTAGTGTGAAACAATGCAGCCAACACTCTAATCCCAGCCTCAGCAATCACTAGCTGTGTGATCTTGAAGTCGTCTAACTAGCCTCAGGCACCTTAAGAGTGAAGCAAGGACACCTTTACCCATTTTACAGGCTGTTTGTAAGGTTAAATGGGGGAAAAAACAATAAGTCAAAGTGTATGGCACACAGGAAACTATGTCAGAAATATTGTCAATGAATTTAAGTTTAAACATCACTTCAATCATTTTAGAAAGTGCCCTACATCCATGTTAATACCAATGAAAACCTTTCTGTACACATAACATAGATATAACAACCTGTGGCCTGGAAAGATCATGGCATCCAAAAGAATTGAGGACACGGTAGTACTTGCCTCCTTGTCCAACAACCAATTTTATGGAGCAAAAAAGTTCTAGTTTATATTGCTTGAACAAAAACTGGTTCAGCTCCGAGTTCCATCTTGAAACACAAGACATTAATAAATAGCATTGTCTCTAGAAACCGTGTAACTCCTACCATCAGAGTGTGACCGTGCATATTAAAACCGAGACAAGCGTAGTGCATGTCTGCAATCCCAGTACTCGGGAGGCAGGGGCAGGGGGATGTCCTCGACTGGAGACCAACCTGGACTACATAGCAAGACCACCGTCTCAAAGACCCCCCGCCAATCAACCGACGATGCCCAAGTATTTTCTCTAAGAGTTGCCTGGCGTGGCGGCACACGCCTGCGAACCCAATACTCGCAAGGCAGAAGCGGAAGGCCAGCAGCAAGTTCTAGGCCGGCTGGGTCTGAAACAGCGAGCTCGGTGCCAGCAAGGGCTACGTGGCAAGCGAGACACAAAGCCTGGAGAGGAAACGACGTAAAAAGGTAACTCACTTTCTTAATGGCGACAATTTGGTTGGTGTTCTTATCTCTGGCCTTGTAGACCGTGGCAAACTGGAAAGGAAAACAGTATAACAAATTCGTGAGAGGTCTTTACTCGATGGCAGGTTCTGGATTTCCTCTGGAGCGGGCTCGCAGAGGGGAGGGAGGCTGGGGAGGGTGTCAGGGAGCCCCACTCCCACTCGGGCCAGCCGCCCCCAAGGAGGAGAGCCCGCGGTGGCCAGGGTGGCCTGCGCGAGCACGGCCGCGCGGACCCGCACCGGCCCAGGGCCTCACCTGTCCCTCCCCGAGGAAGTCCAGTTTCTCATAGCGCTTCGCTCGAGACTTCACGTCCACAGCCATGCGAGTGAGGAGCCAGACTCCAGCAGAAAGCCGAGGCCTCCACCCCGCAGGAATTTAAAGCGTCTGAAACCTCCCAACAGCTACTTCCGTTCACTGGACGCACACAGACTACTGGCCCTGCCCACATTTCCGCAATGGGCGGGGCCAGTCCTACGGAAGCTGAACTGGGCTTTGGGCTGTGCCCTCCGACCGCTGCCACGTGCCCTCCGTGGCCGGAAGCGACGTGTTATAGATGGCTGTCAATTTGTTGATGTTGACTTTGTATTTGCTTCCAAGGATAGATCAGCGTTCTGATTCGGTGTCTACGAGTTCGGAATCTAGTAGGGTGTAAGACGCTGGAGGGCTTGGCCGTGCACGCGTCTTGCACGGGCGTTGCCCTGTCGCCTCAGTCGCTATGGACGCCAAGCCCCTCATTCTAAGGAGAGCCAAGTTCTTAACGGTTGATGTATGAACAGGCCCAGGGAAGCATACTCCAGCCCTGCTGAACATTATGTTATGGAATAGGTCTTTGGTATTCTAAAAATCGAGACTAATGAATTAAGAGAAACATACAGAGCGTTTGAGCATAGTGTCAGCTATGCAATTAGTAATTACCCTGCAAGCCCATCGATCTGTCAGTTATTGGCCCCAGCAATGGTTTCCGTTTGAGTCATATTTTTGTCTTTCCATCGCTCCGGTTTGCAGGGTGGAGGGTGGTTTTGCTAAGACCTCTCCATTCCCTGGTAGATTTAAGAATGGATTTTCACATTGTTCAGTTTTTTCTCACGAGGAAATGTGATGAAGCCGAAGTTACTTCTGAGGCAAGGACCACAAGTTTTTAATGCCTTTGCTTTTAATTTTTTTTTTGTATGTCTATTGGTTTTTTGCCTGTATGGGCTTCTGTGTATCATAGGTGCACAGTGCCCATGGAGGTCAAGAGAGGGCATTGGATCCCTGGGAACTGGAGTTACAGATGGCTGTGAGCCACCATGTGGATGCTGAGAACTGAACGTGGGTCTTCCTGAAGAACAGCAAGTGCGCTTAAGAGTTGAGCTATCTCTGAGCCCCTCACTACCTTCATTAGTAAAATTTATGAGATCGTTCGTTTGAATTGAGAAACACAGAGTTCACCAAATCAAAAGGGAGTCAAGCATCCTGAAGTCCCACACCAAGCAGAAACTCGGTTACTTCTCTGACTTTCCGAGCAACTAGCAGCCAGATTTCCTAAACTGGTCAGGTGACATAAAGAAGTGCTTTAACCCTTATGAAAAAGTAAACTCATTTAATTAATCAGATTTTCTTCCCTGCAGTTTCGTGTTCTTGTTCCATGCCCACACATTCCTCTTCCACCAGGCATGGTAGAGCACAGTCTGGAAGCTGAGGCAGGAAGCTTGCAATGACCAGGAGAGCCTGGGCTACAGACAACAACAAAAACATGTTTTGCTATAGTTATTGGGAGTTCTGATTTTTTTTGGGGGGGGTAGTTGGAGGCAGGATTTCTCTGTGGCTTTGGAGGTTGTCCTGGAACTAGCTCTTGTAGACCAGGCTGGTCTCCAACTCACAGAGATCTGCCTGCCTCTGCCTCCCGAGTGCTGGGACTAAAGGCATACGCTACCACTGTTGGCAAGTTCTATGATTCTAGTGTGAATGCTACTCAATTCATAAATCACAAAATTCTGCAACAACCTAACCAACCTGGTTATGATTAGAATCCAACATCTTAGTTAACATAAATCATGCTACAATAAAAAGCTCATTTAAGATGCATGCCTGCCTTTACTCCCACACTAGGGAGGCAGAGACAGGCAGATTTCTGTGTGAGGCCAGCAGATCTACTCAGTAAGTTCCAGATCAGCCAGAGATACTCAGAGATCTTGTCTCAAAATAACAAAAAAATTAACAAATATGTATTGCTTTCTACATGACGAATATTATTGTGAACTTAAAAAAAATTCATGGACCATAACATCCCCTCGTAATGAAAGATTAAGAGATAATCAGGTCTAGACTATTTGGGTCTACATAGTAGATAGGGTCATACATAGATCCTGTCTCAGAGGGGAAAAAAAAGTTAACTATGAGGTGTGATGGTGCTATAAAGTGGACTGAGACACAGCTGATGCTTCAGAGTTTTAAATATGGCAGTGCAAGAAAGATGTCATTGAAAGTCCATTGGATTTTTAAAAAATATTTATTTTTATTTGATGTACATTGGTGTTTTGCCTGCAGGTATGTTTGTGTGAGGGTGTCAGCTCTTGGAGTTAACGACAGTTGTGAGCTGCCATGTGGGTACTGGGAATTGAACCCAGATCCTCTGGAAAAGCAGTTGGTGCTCTTAACAGCTGAGCCATCTTTCCAGCACTAAGTTCATTGGATTTTAGCAATGAAGTCAGATTAGTTTTTTTATCCCATTTTATTGTCTTTATGGTGGGCTTGCCATGGTACACATTTGAAGGTCAAGTGGTCAGGCTTGAGGGTAGGAGTCTTTTCCTGCTGGACCATCTCTCTGGTCCCAGATGATGTTGTAAAAGGGTTACACTGGCTGCTAAGAGACTACACTGTAAACCGAAAGGGCAAGGAAAATCAACAAGGCCTGTTGGTGAGTTATTGTTGTAAAACAGATGGCTTCACTAGAGTGATGCTAAAATTTTGATTCTTAGCCCATAGAATCTACTTACAGGCTCATCCCAATGTTCTGAGCTGAAGTAGCTGTCAAAATGGCAGGTTTTTTTTTTTTTCTCTTTCTTTGCAACTCATGTTTCTAAAAATTAGTAATCTTAATTTTTAGAGACATGGTGGAGATAGCAACAGAGCTCCAGATGCTAATGTAGAATAGAAGTGGCTCTGGATCTATCCAGAATGCCTGCTTATGCGTACTGTCTAACCAGCATTCAGTCACTAGATGAAAGACCTAAATTTATTTCTATCTGTACCTAGTTTCCTCCTCTATAACGGGATCTACTCAAACACTGCTGGAAGGCTTAAATAACTTTACATGGGTAAAGCAAATGTGTGGCAAGTGGTTAGTTGGATATTATTGCCTTCGTCACTACTTAGGTCCAAGTAAAACACCTATAGAAAAACATTTTGTTTTGAAGCCATGGGATTGGGCAATAGCTCACTAAATAGCTCACTAAAATATATCCACAGCCCCAAAGTAATTTGTGTATGCATTTTTGTATGCTGTATGCATGTATTTAGGGTACATATAGAGAAGCCAGAAGTCAGTGTTGGGGGTCATCTTCAATCGCTCCATCTGTGTTTATGAGACAGTCTCTCACTAAGCCCAGAGCGCACCAGTTCAGCTAGGCTGGCTGACCAGAGTTCCAGGGTTCTGCCTTTTTGCCTACCCAGGAGGATTACAGGTACACAACTGCTCCCAGCTTTTCTTGTGGATGGGTGGGGGAGGGGAGGTTTCCAGACTGCTTGGCAAGCACTCTACTGATAGAGCCATGACTTCACCCTGAAATAGTTTTATTTGGAAAAAATATATAGTTGGGCATGTCCATGCATGCCTTTAATCCCATCAGGGCAGAAGCAGGGATTTCAATGAGTTTGAAGCTACCCTGGTCTATGTAGTAAGTTCCAGGCCAACCAAACTACATAGTAAGACGCTGTCTCAAAAAAAAAAAAAAAAAAAAAAAAAAATTATGTATTTTTCATTTTTCATGTTACCAGAATAGCTTACTACTAACATCAAATATAAACCCTTGTTTTTCATCAGGGTAGCAGTCACAGCACAGAACTTACAAGAAAAACACATCAACTCTAGAATGATAAAAAAGTAAAGACTAGACCACAGGTGATTGAACAAAAGTAGAAGATAACACAATTATAGTGTCCATTGATCATGGGCTACTCGTTATTAAGGATGACTTATTTTTTTTTTTTTCTTTTTTGGTTTTTGAGACAGGGTTTCTCTGTGGCTTTGGAGGCTGTCCTGGAACTAGCTTTTGTAGACCAGGCTGGTCTCAAATTCACAGAGATCTGCCTGCCTCTGCCTCCCGAGTGCTGGGATTAAAGGCATGTGCCAAGGATGTATATTCTACAAATCAAGTATGGAAGTATGGAAGAGGATTTAGTCAGCCTTGTGAAGATTAGCAAGAGAACCTATTTAGTTTCACTGGTTGCCTAGTAAGGTGGATTTTGAGACTCTCAGACATTAAAATAGTGAAGTTAATTATCAAGATTTGCAAACGTCACTAACAGTAAGCTAAATGAATATCCTCCCAAACACAGTTAGTAGCAATTTCTAGAGAAATACTTGTTCCTATGCTATATTCATCTTATTTTTACTTTATATATTGTGGTACCTACTGGGCTTGGTTCTGGAACCCTGACTAGGAACAGTGAAGCAATGAAGAAATGACAAACACATAGACACGCGTACAGTAACCCTGGGGTTCTCCTGCTGCTCCTAGAACCTCATTGTGTTTATCAGATACAGAACAAAGGGAGAAGTTAGCTAGTCTTAGTAGGTCTCTGCAGGACACCAATCTCAGGCTAGAAAAACATCAGGGAGGAAGAAGCTGCAGCTGCTATTCTCTGCACACACTGATCAGTCTTCCATAAACACTAATACTGGGTCCCTCTGAACATACCCAAGTGATGGGGGTGTCCTTCTGCATGCTGTGAATATGAACTTCTCTTATTGATGAATAAATGTGATTGGCCAATAGCCAGGCAGGAAGTGTAGGCAGGACTAACCAGACTAAAATTCTGGGAAGAGGAACTCAGTGAGTTACCAGAGAGACTCCGTGTAGCCACCAAAGGAGTAACATGCCAGAGCATTATGGGTAGCATTATGGGTAAGCCACAGCCTTGTGGCAATACATAGTTTAGAAATGGGTTAATAATTGAAAGAACTAGCCAATAAGAAGCCTTTGCCATTGGCCAGTGTGTTTATTTGGGTTCACATGGCTACAGGACCAGGCTGAACAGAAACCTCCATCCACATCCAAGTAAGGATGTGGGACTGAAGCCTTAGAGTCCTGGATGTCGCCATACTCATGTTAACATTCATTCAAGACTTCATTCACAGTTGCTGACATTCCGTACAACACAGACACTTGTTCTGAATATAGGTACAAATAATCTATATTATCTTCATAGTCTTAATCCCACTGCCAGCTTT